CCCAAAGCCGTTAGGCTTTCCAACGGGCAGAGTTCGAAAAAAACTGCCAGAGTATCCTAATAGGAATTGCATACGTAAGTTACCACCATCGCATACGTAACCCACAGCTAGTTACTATATACCTATAATTCAGGGAGTGTTTTTTCTAAGAAAAAAAATAACGGCCGGCCGAAGGCCGGCACGGTTTTGGGAGTTTGACATTCGGGGGGTAGTTTGGGACGGGGCATCCAGGAAAATTATCGAGAAGTCAAAATAATTACCCCCTGGTACCTAAATCGCTTAAGCGCCGGGGCTATCTTTTCAATGGGGGGTTATAGCGAAAAACGTCTGCTGGGAGGATGATGTACGGCTATTAGTAGAGTTCGAATGCAAAAAACTCGAAGTCGAAATTCGGACCTGAAGGGTACTTATGCCTTCCCAAATGGTTATGCCCCCAGGCTGAAAAATTCTAACTCTTTAACGAATTGAGTTAGGGGTCTGAAACTTTTGCATTTAAGGGTTCTATTTGATGGGGCATTTGGGAAAAATACGAAAGTTAAGAAATAATTACCCCCTGGTACCTATATTGAATAGGTACCGGGGGTATCTCGGGACTGGGGGGAGATATCAAAAAACTTCCAACGGGAGGCACGCAAGTTGGAATAAGCTGATATATGTAGGAAAAAACCCGAAGTCTAAATCCCAACTTGAAGGGTAGATATGCCTGCGCAAAAATCCCAAAATCCCAGTTTCGCAAATTTCGAAATTTACGAAACTTATCGACAAATCACGTGTGATATGTCAAATGAAAGCTCTCGACGAGCTGAGTCTGGAAAAATTTAGTTTAAATTTTTCGGAATACTTTTGACCAAGTTACAGTAGCCCAAAGTTTCAAAGTGCCCCCATGTAAAATTGGGAAGGGTGGCTCCAATTCTCAAAAGTGAATTGAAACCCGTTTTCGATATCCTATGTTATAGAGCGTCACCTGACGGTCCGAAAAAGGTATAATATGTCGGGGGTCCGGTTGAGTCTCAAAAAGTTATGGCCAATGTTCGCAAATGTCGCGAAACTTTTTTTGACTCTAACGTCCCGGGGGAATTTTTTAAAATTTTTCTGACACCGGATTTGGACTCAGCGCATGTCAAAGTACCATATGGGACGTTTTATGGGTCAAAATTCCAAAATTTTGTCCCACCCCCTATTTCCAAAGGGGTACCCCTTTTGGGGGATTTTTGGGATTTTTTAGGTGATCATAACTTTTTTTGGGATTAAGAGAATTGGATGGGTTTTCCTTTATAAAATAGTACTAAAAATTAGAAATTTTTAGAGCCGAAAAAATTTCGGAAAAATTCGAAATTGGAGGTGTAGGGGTCGAATTTCGAAAAACCCAAAAATTTTCGGTTTTTCTAAATTTTTTCGGGATTTTTGCCTGCTGTTCGGATCGAATGTATTTTTCCTAAATTAATCAGATTTTTCTACATATTTTGGGATTTTAAAATTTTCAAAAAAGGTATACTTCGGCCGAGATATGATTTTTTGAAAATTTCAGGGATTTTTTCTGGCTGAAATTTCAGGCCCAAAAAATATTTTTTTCAAAATGGATATAAATATGGCAAATGAGATATCATTCGAAAGCTCTCATCGAGCTGGATATAAAAATATTTTTTTCGAAAATTTTCGGTACATTTTGACGAATGTACAGAGGTTCAAAATTTATGGGGTTGGACTACCGTACCCGGAGAATGATGTGAGGGAGAGAGGAAAGAAAAATGATTGACAGGTCAAATGTAAGGAAGAGAGGAGAAATTTTTCTCCGTCTCTGACCATGCGGGGCAAACCGTAGAAGAACTTAGGGGTGAATTTTGTATATTGGGGAAAATTTTGTGGAGGGATAAGCTGGATCCTGTTATGGATCCGAAGCAGAAATGCTTCGTGAAGCAGATTCTGCTTTGAAATTTTGTTCTATTTGAACGGACGAGTCCAATCAAGGGGAAGCCGAGGGCCGAAGGCCCGAAGTGACTCTAATTGAAAGGGTGAGTCCAATCGAGGGAAAGACAAGGGTGACTCTAAGTGGAAGGATGAGTCCGAATAAAGGAAAGACGGGTCTAAGTGGAAGGATGAGTCCAATTGAGGTGAAGACGAGGGCCGAAGGCCCGAAGTGACTCTAAGTGGAAGGGAGTGCGAGGGCCGAAGGCCCGAGCTGAACCCATCTAAAAGAGAGGGCGAGGGTTTTATCTGATAATTCCTGCTCTGATGACGAACTTGACGATGACACACACAAACCTACTCTTTCCTTACGCGACTACATCCGATACCGTTTAGCTATTCGCAAAGACGAGCCACTGCACAACATTTTTAGTGCAGGTGGTGGCCTTAGTCAAAAGTTCGTCCTTGACTACAATGCCAGAATAGATGCTGAGGTAGCAAGTTTCCTTCGAACTGAAGCCCTTGATATGAAGAAGACCCACAAAAAAAATATCCTCCACCACATTGCCCGCGGTGCTAATGCACAATCTATTGGAGACCTCGGAAGCTTAGTCATGTTCCGAAAATATCACCCAGGTACTCGTCCTTATTTTCAAAATATGTTCTATAATGCTACTACCATTATGGCTCGCACACGTAAACCAGGTTGTGCTGCGTTTATGTTGACCTTTACTTCTAATCCACATTGGCCCGAAATCAAACGAAATTTCCTCCGCCCTAACCAGAATCTGGTCGACCGATTCGATATAATTTGTCGCATCTATGAGGACAAAAAACGTCACCTAACCCACCTTATTAACAAAAAAAACATTCTTGGCAAAATCCTAGGCTCAGCCCAAAGCCGTGAATTTCAGAAGAGAATTGGAGGCCCCCATCTTCATAGAGTTTATTGCACCGACACCGAAGCAACCCCAGATAATATCGATGGTTTAATATGGGCCTATATTCCAACAGAACCGCCAAAAACGGATAAATCTGACTGGGCGAATTTTATTAGAAAAGTTCGTGAACTACTTCCCAAATTCCAAATTCATGACTGCGGTGCACACTGCAAAGGCAGTAATGGCCGTTGTAAGAAAGGTTTCCCAAAACCTTATTCCACTAAAACCAAACTCCACCCTAATAAGCCAGCAGATTATTATCGCCCGAGTCCCGAAGATGGTGGTGCAGTTTTAGAGATTCCACGCGGTCAAGCAACCTTTAAATACACCAACTCTCAAATTGTCCCTTATAACCCCTTAATCCTCGTAATGTTTGAATGTCATCATAATTTGGAATTTTGCTACGGCCAGTCCGACAACCTAAAATATGCCTTGAAATATCCCTTTAAAGGTGCCATGTTTTCTTATGTAAAAACAGCTGCCGGAAAAATTAACGTCGACGAACCAGCGCAGTATGCTAAAATGATTTACAGGAGTCCTACTGAGGCTTATTCACGTATTGAAGGGCTTAAGTACGCTGAACTTTCCCACGCTGTTATTCCACTTAGCATACACATGCCCGACGATCCTCCTGTTATTACAACTCCAGCAAACCGCAAACAAAAAATAGCTGCTATTGCCCGTGGCAAAGATCCCGAGACCCAGTTAACTGCTTACTGGAAACTTTGGGCCAATGATAAGGCTAACCCTTCAATCAAAAATATTTTATTTGAACACCTTCCAGAAACCCATGCCTTTCATACAGATGTGCAACAGTGGTTACCTCGAAAAAAGAAAACTGAAAAGGGAAATACTGTTCTCGGTCGTATTTACCCAGTTTCCCCAAGAGAACAAGAATTGTTTGCCCTTTATGTACTTACCAAACACTTCCCTGGTGATCCCGACCACCTTCTTACAGTCAATGGTGTTAAATATACATCTTTTGCCGAAGCTGCAAGGCAGCATGGACTTTTCGAAGACAACTCTGTCTGGGAACGCACTCTCAAAGAAGGTTCCCAATCACTTAACCCCTCTCAGATGAGACAGTTATTTGTAAATATCCTTTCATTCGGCTCAACCTCATTCTGTATTATAGATGCTTTACAGCTTTGGAATATGTTTAGAGAACATATGTATGACCGTCGTTGCACTGACGCTCAACGACCCATTCGTATTGACAGAGCTCTTGCCATAATTGAAAGATATCTACTCTCTAACGGTAAAACTATGGCCCATTATAATCTTCCAAATCCTACCAATTCCCTCACTGATGACCCAGATGCAGCTATTGATAATTTCTTTTTCCCTCAACACTTAAACGATGATGATACAGATACAACTGTTGACACTTCCTCATTTGACAGTGCCCAATTGAACCCAGAACAACAAAACTTTTTCGACCTCATTATTAATTCTGTCACAGATAATTCCACCCAAAAGCTCTTTTTCTTATCCGGAGATGGCGGTACTGGCAAAACATTCTTATTAAATTTCCTCCTCTACCACTTGCGAAGGAACGGTAAAAAGGTCCTTGCTACTGCATCAACCGGTATTGCTGCCACTAAATTTTATGCCGGTGGCATGACATTACATTCCGCCTTCCGTTTTGGTATTGACCACGAACCTGGCCGCCTTCCCAGTGTTCCATTTGAAAGCTTTTTCGGCCGTCGAATTATTGAGAGCAGTGTTGTAATTATTGATGAAATTACAATGCTTGATAGAACCTTATTTGAAAATGTCGACGCTCTTTGCCGTAAAATGATTTCACGAAATAAGAAAATTCCCTTTGGTGGAAAGGTTGTAATTATTAGCGGTGATTGGAAGCAATCTCTCCCTGTTGTAACCGACACATACGCCCCACAAGCCGCAGTGGCTGCTTCTGTCCAAAGTTCCAAACTTTATGATCAATTCCACAAGACCCGCCTGATGCAAAATATGCGCCTCCTGTCTGCTGAGATCAGATTTAAAGAATGGCTATACAGACTTGGAACTGACACTTCTGGTAATAAAATCGCCATCCCAAAATCCATGATTGTAGAATCTCGTGAAGAGTTAGTTTCCTTCGTATTCGACCAAGGCTTTCATATCCCAAGTAACCAACTTCTCACCAGACTAATGCTCGCACCTACCAATAGATTAGTCGACTTAAATAATGACCTCATTCTTTCCTCTTTTAATAGCGAAGCCAAGGACTATTATTCAGTTGATAAATGTCTTACTGATAACCCATTAGATCCTTACGCAGCCCACCAAGACGTATCTCATCTTAATAATGAAACCCCAAAAGGATTTCCAGCCCATCATTTACACCTCAAAGTAGGTGCAATCATTGTACTTCTAAGAAACCTAAACACTAACAAAGGCTTGTGTAACGGCACCCGACTTATTGTTAAAAAACTTACCACTAATTTAATTGAAGCCGAAACAATTAGCTTATCTTCAAACCAAGGAGTTATTGTTGGTATTTCCCGTGCCCAACACACTTATAAAGATCTACGCCCCGATGGAATTAGCTTTGAACGCTTCCAATTCCCCGTTCGAATTGCCTTTACTATGACTATTACCAAAGCCCAAGGCCAGACCTGTGAGCGACTTGGAGCCGATTTGTCCGAAGAACCTTTTGCTCACGGCCAACTCTACACCCTCCTGTCCCGTTGTACAAATAGTACAAATATCCGTATATTTGCCCCTGAAAAAGAAACAGATTCAGATGGCAATGTCCTTATCAAAAACGTTGTTACCCACGGAATCCAATTTGATTAAATGCTTTCTTTCAATTAGTCTAATTTTTTTGATGCTACCCTCACGTTTTATAAGCACATACCACTTTCCTTTTTTGGCGATGATTCCCCTTTTAGCTTAAGGGACGTTCCGCCTATTTATTTTTTGGCGATGATTCCCCTTTATATTAAGGGACGTTCCGCCTTCTTATTTTATAGCGATGATTCCCCTATATCAAAAGGGACGTTCCGCCTTTTTAATTTTGGCGATGATTCCCCTTTATCTTAAGGGACGTTCCGCCTTTTTTTTGGTGATGATGCCCTTTAAACGTTAAAGGACGTACCACAACGCTCTCCTTATTTTTTGGTGATGATTCCCCTTCTGTTTTAAGGGATGTACCACCACTGCCCACCCCCTCCCCAGGAGTACAGGGTTTGCCCGTTTACCACCGTGCACCTCCACGTGGTGTACTCTGGGCATTGTTTTACTTTTGGAAAACAATGGCTAAGCACGGTACAAACGGGAGTTAATTTTTTTATAAAGTTATAAAAACAAAATAAAGGTAAAGGGCTAAACCTTTACCGGCGAGGGCCGAAGGCCCGAAGCAATGAAAAGGCAAAGCGTAATCTTTCTTTCCAGGCATCCAACAAGTTCTAGCAGCGCGCGAAGCGCGCCCCAAAGCCGTTAGGCTTTCAAACGGGCAGAATGAAAAAAACCTAAAGTATCCTAATAGGAATTGCATACGTAAGTTACCGCCATCGCATACGTAACCCATAGCTAGTTACATTATATATATAATTCAGAGTAGGGTTCATTTTTAAAAATTCATAACGGCCGGCCGAAGGCCGGCACCGGTTCGGGAGTTTGACATTCGGGGGGTAGTTTGGTCCGGGCTATTCAGGAAAATTATTTAAAAGTTGAAATAATTACCCCCTGGTACCTAAATCGCTTAAGCGCCGGGGCTATCTTTTTAACGGGGGGTTATAGCGGAAAACTTCTGCTGGGAGGCACGTGCCCTGATATTAGGGGATGTCAATGGAAAAAAACTCGAAGTCGAAATTCGGACCTGAAGGGTACTTATGCCTTCCCAAATGGTTATGCCCCCGGGGCTTCGAAGTCTAACTCATTTTAGAAAGTAGTTAGAGGTCTAAAACTTTTTGCATCTGGGGTTCTAATTGATGGGGCATTTGGGAAAAATACGGGAATTGTAAAATAATTGCCCCATGGTACCTATATTGAATAGGTACCGGGGGTATCTCGGGACCGGGTGGAGATATCGAAAAACTTCCAACGGGAGGCACGCACGTTGGAATGAGCTGATATAGACTGGAAAAAACCCGAAGCCGAAATCCCAATTCTAAGGGTAGATATGCCTTCCCAAAAATCCCAAAATCCCCGTTTCGCAAATTTCGAGATTTACGAAACTGATCGACAAATCACGTGTGATATGTCAAATGAAAGCTCTAAGTGAGCTGAGTCTGGATAAATTTATTTTAAATTTTTTGAACCACTTTGGACCAAGTTACAGTAGCCCAAAGTTTCAAAATATTTTTATGTAAAATCGGGAAGGGTGGCTCCAATTGTCAAAAGTGAATTGAAACCCGTTTTCGATATCCTATGTTATAGAGCGTCCCCTGACGGTCCGAAAAAGGTATAATATGTCGGGGGTCCGGTTGAGTCTGAAAAAGTTATGGGCAATGTTCGCAAATGTCGCGAATCTTTTTTTGACTCTAACGTCCAGGGGAAATTTTTTAAAATTTTTCTGACACCGGATTTGGACTCAGCGCATGTCAGAGTACCATATGGGACGTTTTATGGGTCAAAATCCGAAAATTTTGGTCCCTCGAATTTTTCTAAAGGGTACCCCTTTGGGGGGATTTTAGGGATTTTTAAATTTGAAATATCTTTTTTTGGGATTGTCAGATTGGGATGGGGTTTCCTTTATTAAATTAAATAAAAAATTAGAAATTTTTAGAGCCGAAAAAATTTATGAAAAATTTGAAATTGGAGGTGTAGGGGTCGAATTTCGAAAAACCCAAAAATTTTCGGTTTTTCGAAATTTTTTCGGGATTTTTGCCGGTGGTTCGGGCCGATTATATTTTTCCTGGATTAACCAGATTTTTCTACATATTATGAGATTTTAAAATTTTCAAAAAGGTATACTTTGGGCGAGATATGATTTTTTGATAATTTCAGGGATTTTTTCTGGCCTAAATTTCAGGCCAAAAAAATATTTTTTTCAAATTCAATATAGCTATGGCAAATGAGATATCATTCGAAAGCTCTCATCGAGCTGGATATAAAAATATTTTTTTCGAATTTTTTCGGTACATTTTGAAGAAAGTACAGTGGTTCAAAAATTTGTGGGGGGTGAGTACCGTACTCGGAAAATTATGGTAGGGAGAGAGGAAAAATGATTGACAGGTGAAGTTGATGGCAGAGAGGCGAAATTTTTCTCCGTCTCTGACCATGCGGGGCAACACGTAGAAGAGTTTAAAGGTGAATTTTGTATATGGGGGAAAATTTAGTGGGAGGATAAGCTGGATCCTGTTATGGATCGAAGGCCCGTAGTGACTCTAATTGGAAGGAAGAGTCCCAATGGTCGAAGACGAGGGCCGAAGGCCCGAAGTGACTCTAAGTGGAAGAATGAGTCCAATCGAAGGGAAGACGAGGGCCGAAGGCCCGTAGTGACTCTAATTGGAAGGAAGAGTCCCAATGGTCGAAGACGAGGGCCGAAGGCCCGAAGTGACTCTAATTGAAAGGGTGAGTCCAATCGAGAGAAAGACGAGGGCCGAAGGCCCGAAGTGACTCTAATTGAAAGGATGAGTCCCAACGGGGCCGAGGAGTTTGGCGAGGGCCGAAGGCCCGAGCTTTCATTACATCTAAAAGGCAGAGCAATTGTTAAAGGCAGAGCATCGATCCTCCGAGGCCGAAGGCCGAGGAGTTGGCGGGCCGAAGGCCCGCCGGTTGGCAAGGGCCGAAGGCCCGAGCTTTCATTACATCTAAAAGGCAGAGCAAGTGACTCTAAGTGGGAGGAGGAGCCCAATCGAAAGGAAGACGAGGGCCGAAGGCCCGAAGTGACTCTAAGTGGAAGGATGAGTCCAATCGAGGGGAAGACGAGGGCCGAAGGCCCGAAGTGACTCTAAGTGGAAGGGTGAGTCCAATCGATAGAAAGACGAGGGCCGAAGGCCCGAAGTGACTCTAATTGAAAGGGTGAGTCCAATCGAGAGAAAGACGAGGGCCGAAGGCCCGAAGTGACTCTAATTAAAAGGATGAGTCCAATCGTCGGGAAGACAAGGGCCGAAGGCCCTAAGTGACTCTAACTGGAAGGATGAGTCCAATCGAGGGGAAGACGAGGGCCGAAGGCCCGAAGTGACTCTAAGTGGAAGAATGAGTCCCAACGGGGCCGAGGAGTTTGGCGAGGGCCGAAGGCCCGAGCTTTCATTACATCTAAAAGGCAGAGCAAGTGACTCTAAGTGGGAGGAGGAGCCCAATCGAAAGGAAGACGAGGGCCGAAGGCCCGAAGTGACTCTAAGTGGAAGGATGAGTCCAATCGTCGGGAAGACGAGGGCCGAAGGCCCGAAGTGACTCTAATTAAAAGGATGAGTCCAATCGTCGGGAAGACAAGGGCCGAAGGCCCTAAGTGACTCTAACTGGAAGGATGAGTCCAATCGAGGGGAAGACGAGGGCCGAAGGCCCGAAGTGACTCTAAGTGGAAGAATGAGTCCCAACGGGGCCGAGGAGTTTGGCGAGGGCCGAAGGCCCGAGCTTTCATTACATCTAAAAGGCAGAGCAATTGTTAAAGGCAGAACATCGATCCTCCGAGGCCGAAGGCCGAGGAGTTGGCGGGCCGAAGGCCCGCCGGTTGGCGAGGGCCGAAGGCCCGAGCTTTCATTACATCTAAAAGGCAGAGCAAGTGATTCTAAGTGATAGGAGGAGCCCAATCGAAAGGAAGACGAGGGCCGAAGGCCCGAAGTGACTCTAAGTGGAAGGATGAGTCCAATCGTCGGGAAGACGAGGGCCGAAGGCCCGAAGTGACTCTAACTGGAAGGATGAGTCCAATCGATAGAAAGACGAGGGCCGAACGCCCGAAGTGACTCTAATTGAAAGGATGAGTAGAGCCCCGGCGGGCCGAAGGCCCGCCGGTTGGCGAGGGCCGAAGGCCCGAGCTTTCATTACATCTAAAAGGCAGAGCAATTAGGAAGGAAGAGTCCAATCGAAGGGAATACGAGGGCCGAAGGCCCGAAGTGACTCTAATTGAATGGATGAGTCCAATCGAAGGGAAGACGAGGGCCGTAGGGAAGACGAGGGCCGTAGGCCCGAAGTGACTCTAAGTGGAAGTATTAGTCCCAACGGGGAAAGACGAGGCGAGGGCCGAAGGCCCGAAGTGACTCTAATTGAAATGATGAGTCCAATCGAGGGGAAGACGAGGGCCGAAGGCCCGAAGTGACTCTAAGTGGAAGGATGAGTCCCGACGGGGAAAGACGAGGCGAGGGCCGAAGGCCCGAGCTTCAACCCATCCCGGAAGACAGAACAAAGATCGGCGAGGGCCGGAGGCCCGAAGCAATGAAAAGGCAGAGCTAAATAAATATATTCCAGGCATCCGAAAGTTCTAGCGGCGCGCGAAGCGCGCCCCAAAGCCGTTAGGCTTTCCAACGGGCAGAATGCTATTAAACTAAAAGTATCCTAATAGGAATTGCATACGTAACTTACCGCCATCGCATACGTAACCCATAGCTAGTTTATATATACTTATAAAAACATCAATTTTAGCGTTTAAAAACTATTATCGGCCGGCCGAAGGCCGGCCGCTCGCCAGAAGCCTGACATCTTGGGGGGTACTTTTTACGGCGCATCTGGGAAAAATACGAAAAAAATTTTTTGGGGGTCGCAAGAGTCTCAAACTGAAAGTGGGTTTTTCGTATCTCAAAAAAGTTCAATAGAAAGGGGGGAAGGTCTTGCTGGTAGGAATCTGTGTCACTGTTAGTGGATCATAATAGAAAAAAATTCGGGTCGAAAAAGTTAAGTCTTAAGGTCGAAACCCCCGTGCGACTGAAATGTCCGACCCGTACTCAAATGGTTTTTCGAGTGTAACTTTTTTATGCAGAGACGTAGCCGGATGGGACCTGGGGGGTATTATAGAGTAATTTAATGCGGATTTTACGATGTTTGTTTGGTGGGGGTCACTTGAGTCTGAGGGTGGGATACTTGAGTCTGAGGGGGGAAA